CGTTCATTTGCAGAAGTTGTGTTTGTTGTGCGTGCCGGGTTACTCACCCCTCCCCTCTCTCCCGGCCTGGTGGTGTGTTGGCAGTGTTCCAGCACTCGCTCTCTCCGCTGGCCGTCTGCCAGCTCCCGTCCTGCTGCCGCTGCGCTGCCGAGGCAGACACGCACACACCGCCGCCCTCTTTCTCTTTCAGCTCCAGCTCCGAGAACCGCATCATTGCCCGCTGTGCGCGCACATACACACACACACACACACACAAAAATGCAGAGGAAAAACCCATGAAACCCACTCATCGTCTGCCCACGCCGCACACAGACACACACATACGCACACACCTCACTGAGCCTCAATCTGGCCTCAACAGCTACAGAAGCAAACAAAATTGCGTCAGAAATCACATAGTCTTAAAATCAAAAGAAAATGCCAAGGAAATTAAACCCACACACACACAAAACGCACACAGGACAAAAAGGTAGACAGATAAATCACAGGCATGGCATAAAGACACAGATTAGACTACTGCAGCCACTGTGAGTCCATGCGCTCTGGGGCTTAAATCCTGGCATCTCCCTTCCTGAAACATAAACATAGCTAGGAAACATATACATCTAAGCCCTGAGGCAGAGAGAGGAGAGGAAAAAGAGGAAAGGAGGGAGTGGGGAGGTGGGGGGGGGAGAAGGAATGTGCAGCGATACAGAGTACAAAGGAGACAGAGCCCGTCAGAGGCAGATGTGATAAGAAATGTAAAGAACTGACCTCCCAGTTAGCTGCAGGTTGACTTATATTACTCCCCTCTCGTGATATGACTTCCATCTAAGCAATTAGAATGGGGGGGCTCAATATATCTGTCCATCATTTCAGCTTTTTTTTTAATGACTTTTACGTTTCCCCACATGTTTCTTTTAACACACAATAGGCAGCCACAATCCCACAAAATGACACAAACAAATTAAAGTGACTCAACAGGTCAATTAACGCTGCATCAAAACTATCAAACGATTTCTGAACTGCATTCGTGACAAGTTTGGAAAAGGGCAATCGAAACCGCGTGGCCAGTTTGGGCGTGATCGATAACGCCGATTCAGTTGATTTTTTAAATCCTAATAGACTTCACGGCCTTATTTTGTGCATGTCCAGAAATAGTGTTTGATAACTTTGTGTTGCAGCTTTGCATTGACAAGCATGACACAGACAAAACCACAGTTTTCCAGCGCGCGCGCTCACAACATAGACAGACATATGCAAGCTATTAAGATATCCGCCTCCGAGCCTGTGGACAATATAGGGTCGGGTTTGTCTGGGATTCTGTCCTGAACGTTGAGCACATGAGGAACCAGAGGTAATGATCTAGAATAAATAGCTCAATGAGTATGGATGGTGGCGGGCGACGGCCGAGTGAAGGGGACGTTCCTGTAGCGGAGCGTTTATAGATGTAACGTGATGTGTGTTAGGGGAGCCAATGGGGGGAGGAGAACTATGTCCTTGGACAGCAACCAGGCAGGGCAGCGCAGGCCATCGTGGGGGAGGAGGGTTAGGGGAGGATAGCGACTGCCGGGGAGGGGGAGGGAGGGACATGCAGAAAGCCTAAGAGGGACCCCAAAGGGGGCAGCTGCTGTTTTTTAAGCACACTACACGCCCTCCGCTGCCCCTCACCTCAGGGTTAAGCATAGCCGAAGGCGGTGTGAACCGCGGGGCTGCCACGGGCACGCTCCGAAAATACAGTAAGGGCTCCATAGCTCGTCAGCACGAACATACTTTGGCCCCGAGGCGGTCACACAAGGACGGGCACGTACGGACACACGGAAAAGAAAAAAGAAAAACGCGCCGAAATAACCTTTACAATAACCGCTCGCTAATCAACATACGGAGACGGCAGCCCTGGTTACCGTTTGAACTGCCTTCCCTGATAGACCGGCTCACCACGACAATGACAATGAAAGTGAGAGGAAGGTCAAGTCTACGGCCAGAACAGCAGCCTTTAGATTCTCCTGCACTGTGTTGCTAATGCGGCCCGTGCCGGTTTCATGGAGGGTTTGTTCCACAGGCAGTGTTTTGTATTGAAGGAAGGGAATAAAAAGAGGCTATTTTGTGAGTGTGTGTGTGTGTAGGGGCCGGGGACGCAGGGGTTCCTTTCCTGATTAGACGTGATCACTGACAGTATGTATGCATGTATGTATGTATGCATGTATGAAGAGTCTGCACATAAGAAACATTGATCATTATGACCTCTTTCAAGCCCACTATTCCCTGTAGTGTAAACACACGCACACACACACACAGATAAGTGTTAATGGCCTTACTTGCAGGGCTCTCTGTTCACGGCTCAGCTTGCTGGAGTCAGCATACAGCTCAGTAGTAACACATTTAAAGCGGTCTCCAACGTAGCCTGAGGAGTTAGCAATCCTCTTGGCCAGACTGGATCTGCGAGAGCCTTTAGGGGACGTCAGGCCATCGACTTCGTAGTAGTCGTCGTCGTCGTCGTCGTCATCGTCGTCCCCTTCTCCTTGAGACTCCCCTAGGTCAACAATACTGTCTTCCTTTTCGGTCTCCCCCTCACACGTTCTCTCCTCCTTCACCACATCGGTGCAATGCTGAGACACGCGAGGAGCTCGACTGTCTCTTTCCCGTTTGTCCTTACCAGAGCTGCGCTCCCCAGATGTCCGGGCACAGCGCAAAGTGCTCTGGTCTTGGTCGTCAGGGTCTGGGCTGGGACTCCGCACCTCTGGGCTATGCTCGGCTTGGGCGAAATTCCCTGGAGAGGTCGGAAATGTGCTGGACTTCGCCCCGGGACCGCCCATGTCCTGCAAAGTCTTTGGTTTCCCAAAGGGAGTATCTGGCTGTCTTTCGGTGTGATTGGACTTCAGGGTTGGGCTGTGCCCAGAGTGGATCGGATAAGGATGGGAAAGGCGGTGTTGGTGTTTTGGCTCGTACTCAGTCTTTGTCAAATTTTGGTTACTATGACAACATTCATTTTGGTTAACCTTGCTGATGTTTTCAGCAGAAGGCTGTTTGTTGACTGTTGGGGAAGACTCAATATCTGTGTCTGAGTGTACAAGGTCAATGCAGACAATCTTTTCTCTGGATGTTCCAGAAGAAGAGGGGTGTTTGCTTTGATTGCCACCATGTCCTTGTCCTCCTGCTTCCCTATCAGACTTAATTTGGCTTCCTTTGCCATTCTCTTTCCCAACGCTGTGATCTTTGTGTCCCACGCATTCTTCAACAATCCCCCGGGATTTCTCCTGTCCCCGGGGCTTCAAGGTTGCATCTCCCCTTTCTGCCAGCTTGTCTGAGTGTGTTTGCATCAGGGGATGGGCCATCTCCTGTGAGTTATAAGTGAGGTATTCCCCTCCTGCACCAGCTGCGAGGTTGTGGTAGGGTAAAGGGTGTTTCGCTGCCAAATGGGTTGGGTAAAGGCTGTTGCTGCCCAGCAATACTGGGTGAGGATAGACTGGGCCTTTCCCTGCAATTGGCAAGGAGTGTAGTGCCATGCCATCGGGGATGGGGTAGTGCAAGTATCTATTGGCATAGGCCAAACTGTGGTTCAGGTAAGCGTCACTTTGAGGAAGGTAAAGGTGGCCTGGGGTGTGACCATTCTCTAAACAGGGCCTCTTGTACGATGACAGTTCTGGAGTTGTTTCACCTCTCTTAGTGGTCTGGGAGGACTTCTCTGTTCCCTCTCTGTGGTGGCCTTGGTGTTCTGACTGGCTAGGACTGTGTTTGACCCACTCGCCGTTGGGCTTTGGAGAAGGAGCCCTGTTGCTGACTAGAGAGGAGTGTTGAGTGGAGGAGACATTTAGGTTGGACTCCCCTGTCCTTGGACAGGACGAGCTACGTTGCTGAGGGAGTACTCTCTCAAGACCCTTGTGTTTAATGACAGAGGGGGAGGAGCCTTTGGCTTGAGAAAGGCCCAGGTCTGTGTTAGGCCTTGGGGAGGGGGGCAAGCCTGGTGTGTGCTGTGTTCGGGATGGAGATGGGCTAGGTACAACCCAAGAAGAGTGTAAAGTGCTTATCATTTCTGGCCTTTCTGGGACCTTAGTAGAAGTGCTGCTGACCACAGAGTGTGGGTGGGAGGAAGGAGAGAGGGATAGTTTTTTGTCCTTTAAGAGCTCTCGGCTAGGGGGCAGTCCATAACGTGGGCCGGATCCTAAAGCGTCCATCTTGACTGGATATCCATTGGGAGGCAACCCAAACTCCAGCAATCTTCCAGACAAATCCAAGGGCTTCTCTGCAGAGTCTTTGGTTGCTTGAGGTTGGTGAGCTGGCCTCTCAAAATTGGGTTTGGAGGGTGACCTGCTGGGTCTCCGCTCAACCCCTGCATTTCTGTGCTCAGGTGCCCCATCTCTTGGCCTTGACTTATGGGAGCTGGACCGGGCAGGAGAGGGCTGCTCTGATGCCATGCTGCTTACAGAAAATGGATGAGGAATGGACTGCGCGGATGAGGACGAGACAGATATTGAAGAGGTGGAAGAGGTGGGTGGGTGTCCTATTCGAGCAACTGGGCGTTGTAAATCCAGTGAGTTGTCAATAAGGGCAGGAGGAGGGGGAGGCTGGGGAAGGCGAGAGGATGCATGAGGAGAAGAATCGGACGGCTGACTATTATTATTATTCCCACTATTAGTGCCAGTAGTGTTACTGTTGTTGCTAGAGCCCTTCCTGGAGGGAGGTCTGCTTGGTCTGCTGCCTCGGCTAGGCGACCGGTCTCTGTCCATGGCAGCCTGATGATGCTGCGGATGAGGGGAAGGCTGGTGTAGTTGCTGTGTAAACTGAGATGCAACAGCAAGCCCCTTGTCCTGACAGTGAACCATGGGTGTGGGGGCCACTGTCACAGTAGGAATCCTCATAGGGGGCGCCACCAAGGGGGAAGAGATAGGGGAAGGAGGATAGGGGGGCATGTAGTAGAGCCTCTCAGCAGCGGACACGGCAGCAGCAGGGTTAACATTGCCCCCCTGGGATGCACACAGAGATGGGTATGCCAGGTGCTGGGCAAGATAGGGGTTAGGCTGGCTAAGCAAGGAGGCTTTGTACATGTTTAGAGCTGCGTACTTGGATGTGTCCATGAAGGGATACATGCTGGCTTCAGGATAGGGGCTGAGCCAAGGCAGGCGCAGGTAGCTGCCACCAGCCCCCGCCAAGCCCAGTTCAGAGGCCTTTTCTCCCGGCCCTAATCTGCGTTCCAAGCCGAGGCCTTCAGCGCCATGAAGCAGCAACGGTTTGTGGAGGCCTGGAGGAGTGCCCTTGTACAGGCCCAGGTATCCATTAGTGGGCTTACGACTGTCCAAGGGGCCATCAGGTTTATAGATGAGCTCTGGGAGACCATCCCGGTTATAAGTGAGGGTGTGGGCGGGCGTCTCTCGACTCTTGTCCGCTGGCAGTGCTCTGATGCCTGGGTATACGACCCCACCATGGAGACGGAGACCGTCATGGATCAGACTCCCTCGGTCCAACCCCATCGCTGACAGCGGCGTCAACCTTGCATCCACCTGTGCCATAAAAAGGGACGGCAGAGAAGTAAATGTGATTCAGAGCCCTCAAAATAACATTTGGAAAAGCTCAGTGAAAGCACAAACTATGAAATATTTACCACTAAACACAGTAATAAAGAAAAGGTTGCTAAATGCTTCAGGTTTGTTGCGCGTGTGTGCATGAATCATAACTAACGCGACAAACGAGCGTAAACAGAACAGGGACTTGCCATGTTGTGTGTGACGTGGTTCCCTTGTCTTAGTTCCAAGTTGGTTTGTGTCTCAGCATCGACATCACGAACAGATGTTGCCCTGTGGAGAGGAGCAAACAGTTAGCAGTCAGTGTCTTGGCTCTGACGCCCGTACACACATAACTCACGCATCATTTTTTTGGGAAATCACAGGGCTTAAAACGTTGTAAAATCTCAGAAATAGAAATTAGACTTTAAAAAGGTAGTCTTTAATTCATAGGTCAACATTTAGATCACGGAGGTGGGGGGGGCAAATCTACAAAGAAATGAAAGGTAGAAGCTTCGTCACACACACACGAGATGAAAGAACTGTGTGGGCTCCCCTCCCCATCCGTCAACGCCCCTCAGCCACCCCCACCCCCCCTCCCCATCCTGCCCACCCTGTGGGCTCAACGTGCATTGTGGGGCTGCGTCTATTCAGTCACGTTCCCCACACACTGGTTTCTCCGTGCCCTCCCTGACCCGCTCTGTCGGCTGCCTCAGCTAGCGGAGCGAGGGAAGATTATACATCAGAGACCACTTCTGTGGGAGACCATTTGCCGCCCGCCAACGCAGAGCCACGGATCAACAAACTCTCACACCAGAGAACACGCACAAAAGTGTAGTACGCTGGAGGGAAAGAGACAACTGTGTATAATTTACAATAAACCAGAGATTCAGTTTAAGAAGGAATGGAGACGTAGAAAGAATATCCCCACGGAGGTGGAAATGGTGGGTTTTTTATAAGTAAGTAAAAAAAATAAGATAATAAAAATAAAATAAGTAAAAAACATCAAGACTTTTGCATGACAAACATCCTTTATCTGTAAATGTTTTGTATACATCATAATTTATTTCATCATTTTACAGCAGTTATTACATGTTAAGAAGTACGAGGCTTGATTTAATGACTTCCATTTAATTTGATTAAAACAATAGATCTGGCCAGGACGATATACACATACACACACCGTGTATAAATCCCCAAATGTCTGTAAGTAACAACTAAAATGTAAAATGACAACAACGTTGGATTATATTGCTATACAAATTTATGCATCTCTAAACTCAGATTTTTTTAACAGCAAATTTACAGCACTTTGTGTCAGTTTAGTAGATATAGAAATGTAATTTGTGTCATTACTTGGTATTTTTGTATTACTTGTAATATTGAAGAATATACAACCGCAAGAACAAACTAATTTGTTGTAGAAATGGCAACACAAAGAGCTCAAAACACGCCTGAGCCTTGATGAGGGGAACAAAGCGGTCTGGTGAAATTCAAGAGGCCACTTTTAAATCCTGAAAAACGGGCAAAAACAACAACAGGGAAAGATCAAATTGCTGCTCCCACTACGGCAGATTCTATCTAAAAAGGAGAATATCTAAGTTTTCATTGATGACTTAGGGTGGACATTACTGCAAAGGAATGCTGTGTGTGAGGGCGGGGAGGAGGAGGAGGGGGGGGGGGGGGAAAAAAGTCTCCTTGAATACCTGCAGAGAATGTAAGGGAGACACCTCCACTTGCAAGAAATTTGAGGTCCCAATATCATCCTTCAGAAAAGGGCCTGAGGTGAGCCGGCCTTTGTTTGGTGTCTCTGTTTTATTGCACACTGCAGGGGGCCTGATAAAAACCCGACATGGGAGTCACAGAACGCCAATCGACACCTCCCTCGGTTGATGTTGTTTCCTC